GATGCTGGGGTTTGGTTGTGGTTTTTTTTTGCATCCTTCATAAGCAATTGAAATGTGAGATTTCAGGCTCAAGGCAGAGAGTAATTTTGATTCCAAATGTGATGAAGATAGTGCCTGCAAACTGAAGCCTCAAGGTGATTGTTAATTTTCTGTTGCAGTTTAGGAGTGAAGTCAGTCAAAATACTTTTTCACTAAATTAATTTGTTAAAATATGCTGTCTTACTGAAGCCAAAACATTTCACAGAGATGTATCAATTTCAACAAAGTGTCTGAGTAGCAAAATCTGTCTTCTTACCAAAGCTTTTAGAGAAATATCCTCTCATGTGATCTTGTAGGCTTCAATGCAATGAGAAAAAAGACATTTCCCTGCCAAATAATGGATCAAAATGCATGGAGATGAAAGTAACAAAGTAAAACAATAAGGTCCCAGAGGTGATCTTCAAAATACTCAACTCTGTATTCATATTTTGCTACGAGTCACTCAGTGAGGTTATTTACAGTTATAGTGTTGACAACATCAGAAAATGAGTCAGGATTTTAAGTTTTAGTATTGTTCTTGGAGTTAGGGTTAAGTCTACCAGATAAAATAAGATGTGATCAGCTAACAATCGACTTGAACAAAAAAAAAGCTACATGATTGAAGTTTAATAAATGTTCTCCTGTTTCTTGATTGTGTCTCAGATAGGAAATTGAAGTCCTGACAAGTAGGCTGCTCTTGGGATGACCCCCAGTTGGGTAGTACCAGAACGATGAGGAGAAGGACAGCTCTAGTGAAATTTCCAGTGAACTTCAGCAGACCCAGAAAGGCTGGGTAAGATTTGGATCAGCCACCCAACCTTGAGGTGTTATATGAATGGTGCCAAGTCTGTGAAATGCTTGTGTTTCTGCCTTCTGTGCGAGGATTGCACATTTCTGAATGCTGGTTGAATCATGAGTGCAGGTAGTTAATATTCTGACTTTGCCCAAGGGGCTTCAAACTCCTTTTCCTCTTGTTTATATACCATACCCAGAAGTGCTGGCTTAGTTCTTATTGCAGCAAAATACTCATATGTAGAAAGGCTTGGGACCTACCAAATGACTCCACCTTCTCTGCGGCTTTTTCTTAGAGCCAGCAATGTTCCCATTTCTCTTTCCCTCGTGACATTCACACTTCCTACCCCCTAGAGGTATAGAATATTTTATGTGCTTTCCATTTTCACATTTCCATAAACTATATTTGGCATGGAGGTTGTTCACTGGGTTACTTTATAACAGGGCTGTGCCATGGAATGCATAGACAATGAAGATATAGTTTTATGAGAACATGAAGTACTTTAATTTGCAGGGCTGATTCCTGGTCTCATGACTACCCTGGAAGGAGCAAGATGAAGAAAACAAAACAAAAAGAAACTGTGCAGAACAATATAAGAATTGCATCAGCGTGAAGATCAAACACCCAAAGAGAACACACAACACTTCAGTGTCGTGAATCACTGCAAAAAATCCAAACCCTCCTGACCCAGTTTTCTACAAGGAAAGATAATGTGTCCTTTTATAAGCTCTTTCTATCTAGCTATGGAGTCTTTGCTTGCTGAGAATTGAACGCTTGTGAAGCTTCCTCATGGGGGGAGGGTATTTATTTTTGGAGCAGCCAGTCATAAATAATAAAGGTGAATAATTATTTGTGAATAATTTATCTGATGAATGTAGGCCATCCCACTTAATTTGGGTTACTCTGATGTCAAATGGATGGGGAAGCAATCAGGCCCTTTTGTTTTTACACATTTTACTCCAAACAGGTTGTGACCAGTTTCATTTGCATTCCCAGTTTGCTTGTTTTGATTGCTTGAAATACCTTTTTACTTAATAGTGCAATGTGTGATTGCTCAACTCAGTCACTTGGTATGTTTTTTGCTCCCTGACTGGATAACTAAAACCTTTATGCCAATAGAGAATCTTTTGTGCAAATAACCCCCCGGTGGCTTATTTGACATTCATTTCACTTGAAGCCATGTATGGGAGTTGAATGCAAAGCCCATGGAGGTGAAAAAAATGCTTTAAGCCCTCTTCAACCCAGCATTCCTTGAGCTGAAAGTAGGGCTGGATTAACACATAAGCAAACTAGGCACATGCCTAGGGCCCCAAACAGCGGGGGACCCCAATCCTTTCCTCCACGGTGGTGGCACCATCCACGTTCCTTCCCTTCCCTTCTCCCTGCCAGCCTTGCCACCACCATGGCTGCTTCCTAGCAGTGGCACTGAGCCCTGCTCCCCCACAGGTGGCAGCACTGGTCACAACTGGCCAGGGGCCCACAAATTTGTTTGCCTAGAGCCCACTAAAGGGTTAATCCGGTCTGGGCTGAAAGGACACCAGACCCATACGAAAGAGGACTTTATACACTGAATTGCCAAATTAAAAGAAAAATGAATATCCCCAGCATAGCCAATTATTAAAAGCCATTGTTGTACATGTAAACTTAAGACATTTGTTCTGAAAACCACTGGGAAGCATTCAATATTGAAACCCACAATACCAATTGTAAAGTTACTTTTCAGAATAGTATCACACTGATGGATCTTGCAGCACATGATCAGCTCCCAGAGACACGTACAGCTGTTTCTTGTCTTGTTACATAAGGATATGGACAAAAGTGCTCTTGGAGCATCCTCAAAAAGAGACCTGACCTCCCCTCCAAGTTTATGTTTATCCAGACCCTAAGACTGTTGTGCTGCTAATATCAGTTCAAAATAGGTAGACAAAAGGAAATTGAACATCTAGTATTCAGTGAGATAAATTTTGAATCCATATATGCATTAAAACTGACACTGACATGGTGTTCAACCAGGCCCCAGAAGGTACTGCAAGAATAGAAGATAAGTTGGCTGAAATCAGTCTAACAGTGAATTCAGACCACTATATAAAGTAGTCAGTGTAATTGCTTTTTCTCATTCCACCAAAAGGGAGGTTGTTTAATGATTTCAAGTTTTCTGACCCAGAATAACAAGTGGTTAATGATGAGAGTTATAACTCATGACATTTCAAAATAATTAAAAAAAAATCTAATCCTAAATATGACTAATCCTGAAATCCACAGCATGAATGGAATATCCCACGGTAAAAGTAAAGCAGGGGAGATTATCTCCTTCATGTGAGAGGCAAGTCCTGACAGAGCTGCTAAACAAATCCCTTTGACTCACTGGGGTTGCTTGTATTACTTCTGTCTGCTTGTCAAAGAAAAGGCTTGCATGGTGGTGTTCCTACAAGTGTATTTTTCTACAGAATGAGAAAGTGTCAGCACTCAACAGAAAGCCTGGCATTAGCTGTAGTTACAGTACACCTAATGGGAAACATAACCAGTAAGAGAGAACAGCATGTCCTTTACAGCGTGTTATATTTTCAGAGTGTTTTTTAATTCTCAAGAAAGGGGCAGCCATAGGAGCTGATTCTCTCTTTGGCATAGGGATGACAACTAATTGCTTTTTATTTGACTTTATATGAAAACAAGCTATTTCCAGGTTTTTTAATCCTCCTCCAGTTAATGCTAAATATTGATTTTTTTTTTGGTTTTGTACTCAATGGCACATGTTTGTTCGCACTGTAAATTCAGGCACCTTTGCTGTTTATAGGCCTCCATATATGGCATGTCTAAATGTCTATTTTCAAGTATGGTGCAAGAATATGCAGAAACCTGAGTCTCAATGGAGCTGCAGTGGTGGGATTCAGCCTGAGGCTCTTGTATTCCTACCTCCTCAGTTCCCAGTCATCAAGGAGAAGATTGCCTCTGCTGCATGCTCCCAGCGGCCTTCACAGTTCAGAGCCAGTTTCCCTGGCTTTTTTCTCTCCATTCCTTCTCTTTGCTCCTTCACTGCACCCCCTTTGCCCTTACCCATTGCCCCCTTGATTGAGTGATCTGACAGTTTAAGGTTATAAAACAAAAATGCCACTTTGTAGCCCCCCTAAAGGCCATGTTTAAATGTTTGTTACTGAGAAGTGTGCCTCTTTGGCCAAAAGATTTTGGGTAATTTCCTAAAATGGGCCTTTTCCCACAGCTGCTCTCTTGAGATAACTTGGGCGATAATCTTTCATGTGGATGATTCTTATTCAATTCTTAGCTTTTCCGTATTATGTTCCCCCCTGCAACCCCTGCCCCCAGTGCTGAGACTGGTTTCAAGGATTCTCAAAGTATTATCAATTTATTGCTCGCTGCTAGGTGATAAATTGCATCTTTTATTGAACACACTGCTCATTCGTAATTCTTAAGTAGGTTATCAAAACAGGCCTAATGCTTTCAGGTGAGAGGTACCTAACCTACAAAATAACCTGTAATTGCAGGTGTCTTGGTACTATTTTCCTTCTATTTTGGAGAACACTGTATAGGTCAAAGTTATCCTCTCTGAAACATCTGAACTTGGTGAAATTAAGTAAGAGAATGTCTTCATTGGAGGCAGAGGCAACCCGAGCAGGGTGCGGGGCCCAGGGCAAATCAGCCTGTGAGGGGCCCCTTGCCACCCCGGACACAAGGCAGCCAGGGGTGGATTTGGCAGTGGCAGAGGGGAGGGGCTGGCGACTGGCCGGAGGCGCCGGTTCAGTGGTGGGGGTGCCGAGCAGCTGGATGGGAAGCTGGCAGCAGCGCGGCCCAGGGCAGTCACACCGATTCGGCACCCCTCTAGGGATGGCTCTGACTGGAGGTACATCAGAAAATGATTTGACCCAGACATACAGTACGCTAGAATCTCTGGGTTAGTGCCAACACATTGCAACATGCTGCTTTCTTTGCACAAACAACCTTCTGTTTTGCTATGAAGTTTTGCTATCACTTTCAGCCCTTTTTTGTATTATGTGGGCATAGTTACTGGATCTACTTCTTTGCCTAATGAGTGATATGAAGGTTGGCTAGAGAATTTATTTAAACCGACTCTCCCAGAAGCACTTGAATTTCCTTAATAGTAAATGAAGTTCCCATAGATTGCCCCTAGGAGGAACTAGGCTTGCATTGCCATTTCCCTGGTCAGGGTTTGGATGCCTAATGAAAGCGCCTATTCAGGTTCTGTCTTTATTTCTCCTCCAGTCGGCTAGAATCCGGAACCACTCACTGCACTTGATCCAACTCTGCTGGCAGAACTTCCGTTCAGTCTTTTCAAGTACAAGCAGTTTCAGAAATGAATTTTAATGGTTTGACAACAAATGAAGAATTTGAATACCACCAGTTAAGTTGACTGCTCTGCTCCTGAAATAACCAAAATACCTTAGTATTCCTTTGCATCCTAATGAGTAGAAGTGTTGTACAAGTAGAATAAAATGGGCTGAATTCAGAATGACGGAAAATATAGTCAAATAGGGTGGTAGGTTTCGGGTTCTATTTTTTTTCTACTAAGACTTCCTGTGTGACTTTGTGCAGGTCACTTAAGCCCACACCTCAAGGATATTGAGATACCTAACAATCATTGATTTCACTTAAGGACTGTGACTTAGCTTCTCTGTCATCTGTGAAATGGGACTTATAGTGCCTCCCTTAACCACCGTACTGTAGGGATATATGCAATAAGAGACTGTGAGCTCCTCTAATATTACAGCTGTGAGGCTTTGTAAGTACTTAAAATAAATTGAATGTGAAAATGTAGGCTAACTATCAGGGCAGTATGTTCCTCAACAAGCTAATTTAAGGAGAAAAGAAAAGGAATGGAAAAAAGGACTGATCAGTAAGGAAAGCTATGTCTTAGAGGTCAGAAAGTGCAGAAATGATCTGGACTTGGCAGAGAAAATTACAATGACTAATAAGAAAGGTAAGGATTTCTTTGGGTGATAACTTTTATTGGACCAACTATGTATTTGGGATAAGTCAGACAATCTTTCAAATGCAAGACACTCTTCCTCAGGTCTGATCACAGGAGGCCAGGTGTAACATAGCCTCTAGATTATGCATAAACTATACTAGCCCTGACTCTTTGTGATCAGACCTGAGGAAGAATGTCTTGCATTTAAAAGTTTGTCTAACTTTATCTCAGCTATATAGTTGGTCCAATAAAAGATATCACCCTAAGAAATCTTTGTCTCTTGCATAGTTTCTGGACCATCATGGCTACAACATCACTCTTTCCCTACAAAGAGTAGTGAAAGATTTTTCAACCACAGAAATAAAAAAGGGACTACTATGCACTGAGGAAGGTGCGGAGAGTAAGGAAAATCTAGGTTTTTCAAATGCTAGTTGGGTATGTTGCCTCAGTTTTCAATAAGGTTGATGATTTACATAAGGATAAGTGTATACTGCATAAGGGGAATGAGGACAGCAGTATACACTTATACACATAGAAGACGGAAGCAAAACTTATTTTCTTTACTGTGATGAAATCAGGGAATCCAGATAATCTCTATCCAAGAATACTAAAATAAGTAGCACATGAAATTGCAAGTTCAAGAGGAAGGAATTTCAATCAATCCATACATAAAGATTGCAGAATAGTAAACCTAGCACCTATATTCAGAAAAGGCAAAAAGAGACCTGGGTAATTACAGCCACAGGGGTTTTGAATACAGGTGACAAGAACCATACACAATATTCTGAATAAGTTATTTCCAGTGCCTTGTACAATAGTACTTCTCTGTTTCTATTGAAAACACCTCACCTGATACATCCTAGAATTGCATTAGCCCTTTTCCTTGGTCACATCACTTTGAGAGGTTGTA